GGAGGGCTGTGATCAGTCTTACATCGGGGAAACTAAACAGCCACTGGCCAAAAGGATGGCCCAGCACAGAAGATCAACATCATCAGGCCAGGATTCTGCGGTCTACACTCATCTCCAGGCCAGCGGTCACTCTTTCAAGGATGAAGATGTTCACATCCTGGACAGAGAGGAACGATGGTTTGAGAGAGGAGTAAAGGAGGCCATCTTTGTGAAAAGAAATTGTCCATCATTAAACAGGGGTGGAGGTCTCCGGGTTCAACTGTCCCCCTCTTACAATGCTGTGATTGCTAGTATCACTCAGCTCTCTGTGAACAGTAAACAGCCATCAGTGTGCTAATGATCCATTGTTAGGCTGATGGTCCTTCTTGAGCATGTGATCAGCTGGTTTTGGTTGTCAGCAGCAAACTGGTTGATCCACTCTGTGAAGGTGCTATTTAAGAGACTGAGCTGAAAACAGCACCTCAGACTGAGGAAGTCTCTTGGATGAGAGACGAAACGTTTCTAGAATTTTTTGCTTTGTTTTGTTTTTTGTTTTTTTGAATGTCCAGAGGACCAGATTGAACTTTTTTGGACTATTAAATGGTGCTTTACAATAATTATTAAAAACCTGTTCCTGCAGTGTTTGAATGCATAAAGATGCATAAAGACCCAGCACAACAATGCGCTCACCCTGCTGGAGTTCTGAGCTGCAAGTAAAACACATACCCCACAGATTAAGGCCTGGTATTTAGGCACAACGGACACACGTGAACATTGTTCCCAGCAGTTACTGCAACACAAAATGTCCGCTCCGTTATAGCCCTGTTTGGTTTTACTGCACTCAGTTGCCTATAAAAGTACAGTTGTAGACATCTAAAAATTACTTTCTGACAGTTTCATTAAAATTGTATCTCCTGCTTCATGATATTTTGCTAACAGACAAACTGACTCTGAAAGAACATTATTCCAATTTCCTTTGATGTTGAGCAATAAAAACTGGACTGTGATATTGTCAATGTATTGCTAAGACTTTGAGTTTGTCTCACCAACAACAGCATGTGGGATGGTGGTGACATTGAGTTTCTGCACCGAGCCTTTCACTCCACCCCTTGGGTCCTGCATCTCCACCACAATCGCCTCCAGCTGCAAGCACAAAAACAGCAACACATTATACATAGACACACACACACACTCACACACACACACACACACACATTTTATATATATATATATATATATATATATATACACACACACACACACACACACACACACACACACATGTATATATATATATATATATATATATATATGTATATATATGTATATATGTATATATACATACATACACACTGTATATATACATACAGTATATATATTCAATTAATATCAATTCAGTATATTTATATAGCGCCAAGTCACAATAGAAGTCATCTCAGGACACTGAACAGAAACATTCATATTTAAAAATAATAATTTAATAATATTTATCTGAGGAGCAGACTGCTTTGGGTTTAACTCCATTGCATAATTCTCATCTTGAGCAAGCATGAAGGTGACAGTGGAAAAGAAAAACTCCCTCCTGAGGAAGAAACCTTTAGCAGAATAAGGCTCAGGACAAGTGGCCATCTGCTTTGACCGGCTGGGTTTGGTAGGAACAGATACACAATGGCAGGTCAAGAATCACGTAAAGATACTGTAGAAATAGTATCAAATGAAAACTATTCAATTTTTTAACAATTCATTTAAGGAAAAGAGATCAATTTGTCCTCTAGTAGTCTAAGATCAAGACAGCATGACAAGCCGACCCTAATTATAGGATTTATCAAAAAAGAAATTCTCCTCCTTGAGTCGCCACCTTATCGTGGTGGAGGAGTTTGTGCGCCTGAATAATCCTAGGAGCTATGTTGTCAGGGGCAATTATAATTACCCCTGGTAGGGTCTCCCAAGGCAGATTGGTCCTAAGTGACAGGCCAGACAAAGAGCGATTCAGAAGATTTTTATGGACATGACACAGCAAGGAACTCTGTGTCCCTTACCCGGACATGGGTTACAGGGGCCCAACCCTGGAGCCAGGCCTTGTGGAGGGGCTCGTCGGCGAGCACCTGGTGACCGGGTCTCTACCCATGGTGCCCGGTCAGGTTCAGCCTGAAAGAGCAGCATGGGTTTGCCTTTTTGTGGACCCACCATCTGCAGGAAGGGCCATAAAAGTCATGTGCTTAATGCCATGGGCAATGGCCGAAGGCAGGGACCTTGGCGCTCTGACCCTGGCTTACCAAAGCTGGCTCTTGGGACATGGAATGTGACCTCTCTGGTGGGGAAGGAGCCTGAGCTTGTGTGCAAGGTTCAGAGGTACCAACTAGATATACAGTAGTTGGGCTCACTTCAACACACAGAATGGGCTCTGGAACTGATCTCCTTGAGTGGGTCTGGACCTTATTCCACTCTGGAGTTGCCCATGGTGAGAGGCGTCGAGCTAGTGTGGGTCTACTTGTATCCCCCCGACTTGGTGCCTGTGTGTTGGAGTTTTCTCTGGTAGATGAGAGGGTGGCTTCCCTTTGCCTTCAGGTGCAGGGACGGACCTGACTGTTGTCCGTGCCTATGCACTGAATGGCAGTTCAGAGTATCCGGCCTTCTTGGAGTCCTTGGCAGGGGTGCTGGAAGGTGTGCCAGCTGGGGACTCCTTTATTCTGCTGGGGGACTTCAATGCCCATGTGAGTAATGACAGTGTGACCTGGAGGGGCGTGATTTGGAGGAACGGCCACTCTGATTTGAACCTGAATGGTGTTCTGTTGTTGGACTTCTGTGCTAGTCACAGTTTGTCCATCACAAACACCATGTTCAAACATAAGGGTGTCCGTAAGTGCACTTGGCACCAGGACGGGTCATAGGTCGATGATAGACTTCATAGTTGTGTCTCATTTGCAGCTGTTTGTTTTGGACACTCGGGTGAAGAGAGGAGCTGAGTTGTCAACTGATCACCACCTAGTAGTTAATTGGATCAGATGGGGGGGGAGGGGGTAGAGGGGGGGATGCCAGACAGACACATTAGACCCAAACATGTAGTAAGGGTTTGCTGTGAACGCCTGGCAGAAAAACCCATCAGAGAGATCTTCAACTCACACCTTCGGGAGAGCTTTAACCACATCCCAGCTGAGGTGGGGGACATTGAGTCTGAGTGGGCTATGTTCTGTGCCTCACTTGCTGATGTAGCTGCTTTGAGTTATGTCTGCAAGGTTTTCAGTGCTACTCGCGGTGGCAATCCACAAATTCGGTGGTGGCCCCAGGCTTAGGGAGGCTGTCAAGCTGAAGAAGGAGTCCCATTAGGCCTTGTTGGCCAGTGGGACTCCGGAGGCAGCTGAGGAGTACCAGAGAGCCAAGCGGTCCACAGCCTTGGCTGTTTCTGAGGCAAAAGTTCGGATGTGAGAGGAGTTTGGTGACACCTTGGATAACGGCTCTAGTTCTGCTCCGAAGAGATTCTGGAAAACCATCAGACTGCAGAGGAGGGGAAAGCAGCACTTTAGTAACACTGTATTCAGTGAAGGTGGGCTGCTGTTGACCTCAACCAGTGATGTCGTCTGAAGGTGGAAGGAATACGTCTCTGATCTTCTCAATCCCACAGGCATGTCTCCCACAGAGGCAGCTGAGTCTGGGGACTTTGGGGTTGGTCTGTCCATAACCATGTCTGAGGTCGCTGAGGTAGTTAAAAAGCTCAGAGGCGGCAGGGCTCCAGGAGTTGATGAGATTCACCCTGATTTCCTTAAGGCTCTGGATGTTGTGGGGCTGCCTTGGTTGACACGCCTTTGCAATGTCGCATGGACATTGGGGGCAGTGCCACTGAATTGGTAGATTGGGGTGGTGGTTCCCCTTTTCAAAAAGTAGAATCCGGAGGGTGTGCTCCAATATAGGGGAATCACTCTCCTCAGCCTCCCTGATAAGGTCTCTATTTAAAATTTTCATTACATACTAGTAATGAAATAATACCTGTCTGATATTATCCATAATTTAAACGGATTCTTTCATTTTTCTGGACTGAGTACTATCGTGCCTTGAATGATTAAATGTGGACGGAAACGTGTTTTATCTTTGACTCACCAACAACAGTGGGTCGTTTATTTAAAACGATTTAAACACATCACACATTTACAATAATTGGCAGATTGATTCCAATAACGCAGCTTAATTAATGGGCTTTACAATGAGAAAATCATACGGCCATGATTTCCTCACCTGCAGC